CCTGGTCCAAGTTTCTTTTCTACCAAAAATTCGGTAATTCCGTTACGTTCACGTAAGTGTAGGCCCGCGATAAGATATAATTATGCTCAATTAGATAACGTACGTGGATAATGGTTAGCCAATTGGAACTTCTGGAGATTTGAAGTGAAGTAGACAAAATAATTATGTTATTTAAAATTTTGAATTCATATCAAGATTGACAAATCAAATTTTATATAAACTAATACATGATTTTTGTAATATATACACGATATAAATTAAATATACTTAAATGTATAATATCTTTTTATTTATGATAACAGATACTTGTTTAATTCTATATTATATCAAAAAGGATGATAATATTTCAATTTTTATTAAACTAAAATTCACATTAAAATAATAGAATAAAACTACACAACATCATAACCGATGGTTGTTTTCAGGGGCGGGGTAGGAACACAATGTGTGTGATAGAATAGGGTCCCGGAATAGCAAATGTCCCAAAAAATTAGATTTATTATTATTATTACAATAAAAAAGAAAATAAAGTATTATGGATCAGCGGTAAATACTTTGGGCTAAAAACCACATAACCTGCGATTGAATCTTGTTGAAGTTATATGGGAAATACCAATAATTAGTACTATGCTACAGCTGCAAAGATTACTTCATCTTTTTTAGTTAATAAAATCATCTTTAAAAAAATTGAGATTTAAAGGTTTCTTTTTAAAAGTTTGTACAGGACCTCAAACGTCCTAATCCTGCCATGTTGTTTTTAGCAAAAATATGAGTTAAAACGATGGTTGTTAAGAAGTCTCTAGTGAAAATTAATTGACACGTTTTAAAAATGGTTGGACACAATATCTGCTGTATTCCTATTATCAGAATAGTGACGACAGATGCCACGCCAATTCCGAATCTGAATTCCAGCACATTCAACATTCTGTCTTTAAATTAATAAGATTTACTTTGCATGTGGTGTGATGTATAATTAGGGATGGATAGGAGTTGAAATTTTGTTTAATTTAATTTTGATTTGAAAATTGAAAGTCTTAACTTGATTTCAAATTGTCCTGATAATTCGTCCTGAAATTTAAGATATAAATTCAATTCTGCACTAACTCAAAATATGGTACAAACACACATTATTGAGTGCATTTTCGATGAAGAAACTTACTTGTCCGGCAATGAGAATTCAAAGATATCATCTTTCAGTTGCGGATTTAAAAAAATTTTGTGAGGGTCATACAAAATTTTATATGAAATAAATATAAATAAAATTTCAGGATTGACACAATCTATAAAATATATAAATCACTAATTAAAGAAAAATCAAATTTCAAATATATATATATATATATATATATATATATATATATATATATATGCTCTTAAAGGATTCTATGATATGTATAAAAAAAACAAAAGCAAAGATCTTATAAGAAAAAATTAAAATGGAAATAATATGTAAAATAGTATTAAAAGAAAAATAAATACTTTTTTATGATTGAAAATTTGTAATTTGAATTACTTATTTTTGGGACTTTTCTTAAGACCAAATTACTAGTAGAAATGAACCATTAAACTCACAAACTTATAGATAAAAAACCTTAAACACAATCATCAAATAAGAATTAAACCTTAAATGATATATAATATCTTGGACTGGATAAAATAAAAAAGAACATTTTATATTTTATTATTTCTTTTTTATTCTGATAATATAATAAAAAACAATTTTATAAAATCATATCGAAACGAAATTCATCAAATACATGTTATTTGACCAACCCTACGTTATGTGTGAGTGAGGGTAAAATACACATTTAGTACTTAAACTATCACATTTGGTTTATTTTAATACATAAAATTTCATTTGTTTTAAAATCATACCCAATGTTTACTTTTTGTTTTATTTTAGTATCCCTCTGTTAAAAATTAAGGTATTAAAAATTAAACAAAAAGTTAACCGCTGGTATTAAAATGAAACAAAAAATAAATGTTAGGTTTGGTTTAAAAAAGTGAAAGTTTAGATATTGAAAAGGAACAAAAGTGATAGTTTAGGTACTAAACTTGTAGTTTACCTTTCTTAAATAATATATATATATATATATTTGGTATAATTACTAATATTTAATTTATTAATCGATTAATGCAGATAGGATGTTGCAGAGATGAGAGCGACCTTTCTAACCCAATTTGCTTCATTCGCAAACACCAAGATTTGAACCCCTAACCTTATTAAAGTGTCTAGTGTCTCAACTCATTAGACGACCTTATTGTTGGTATATATATATATATATATATATATATTAAATTCATAAATTGGTCCCTTAAAAAGTGTATATAATAAGTTATTAAATTTAGTTATAAAAATGTATATTAACTTAAAATTTGAAAACAACTACTCTATAATTTTAGTTATTATTTATTAAAAAGAGTTAGCATTCTTTTTATTGTTATTATTTTAGTTTTAAATGAACGAAAATATATTTTGTTTTGTTATTTCTGATTTTAAGATATAAAATTCATTTTTTCCCTTTTTCTTTGTTTAATTGTTTATCTTCTTTGAGTTGAGGACTGTAATCAAATTATTAAGTATTCAACTTTTAATTTTATTTCAATTGAAGGTAGTAAAATATTTTAACTAATATATACATTTTTTTAAATGTCAACAACAAATAATGTTAAGTTCCATCATTGAATGTACGGTAGTTTTCTACTTAAGTGAGTTGTATATATATATATATAATCATATGTTTTTATTAAAAATAATAATTAATTTAAGTAATTTAATTTGTTTAGAATTAAGATTTTCAAGTTATGTAAGTAATTTTATTTTTTTATTTAACTTAATTTGATGACGAGCAACATCGATTTTCTCTTGATTTAAGCCTCCGACAGTGTTGGATGTTGTATCAAATGGTTTTCTAATGAAGCAAAATGGTCGTCGACGATGACTGGTTGTGATGGTCGATTAACAGGAGATAAACTTATATAACTTATAGGGGCGGACCTTATAGTTGCCATGGGTATCCCAGGCATTCCCTCAAAATTGTCTACTTAATGTTAATTTTTTCTAATTTTTTTAATTAATACAAGTGACACATCTAATATTGTGTGTAATTGTTACTCTTTATTATAGGGTTTAGGGTTTTTTTGTGCCACCCCTAAGAGTTTTTTTATGCAACCCCTTAATTTTTGTCTTGAGTCCGCCTCTAATAACTTAAACATTTGAATTCTAAACAAGTTATATTACTTAAATTAATTATTATTTTTAATAAAAAATTATAATTTATTATAATTATATTAAAACTAAAATTAAATTTTAGTAAATGATTAATTTTAAATAAAGCATTATATTTTTTTTCATATTTACATAGTAAGAATATTTGTTTATGGTGTGTTTTGCTATTTTATTTTAATGGTACGTTACCATGCGTTATACAACAAGCGATTTTATTACATCACTTTCATCCACCACGTGGCGTGTTTAAACTAAAAAGATTTACTTTAATGTTGTCCCATGTTGAGTGTATGGTAGTTTTCTACTGCTGCGAGTTGTATAAAGCAAAACGTTTTTATTACTTTCCTTCAATACACGTGGTGTGTTTTGACTAATAAATATATTAAGGGTAAATTACATAAATGGTCGCTCGACTATAAGATTTTTTTTTTTAATTAATCGATTATTAAAAGTTATAAAATGATCATCAAATTATTTATTATGTTCCAAACTCGTCATTTTCGTAAAAAAAAAATTAACTGTAGTATGAGCTGTACATTAACCTACTTACTGAGATATAATAAAATTTGACCTCATAATCTCAAACGACTATCATATTTCAGTCAACATGTTAACGTTAGCTTAAACGATCGTTGATTTTTTTAATAGAAAATGAGGAGTTTGAAACATAATAAGTAGTAGGGTGACTATTTTATAAATTTAAATAATTGAAGGACTCATAAAAGTTACTCTATAAAGTCGGAGAACCATCTTATAACTTTAACAATCGAGAGACTCAACAAGAAAATATCATATAATCGGAGGACTATTTATGTACCTTACCCATAGATTAATTACATATTTATCATAAAAATGTATTTTGTTATCTTTTCATTTATTGTTAGTTTTTATAGACATGGTGTTAAAATTAACCTCTAGGGTTTATCAAAATATTATTTTATTCTAATTTTTTTTAAATATTTTAGCTTCAACATTTATTTATTTTTATTTAAAAAGATCTATAATATTTAACCGAATAATCATTTCGATCTTTATTCTCTTTTTACGTAGCATTTTGACTATCAAAATTTCATTTTTAGATAAAAAATCTCATATATTTGAAACGTTAATGTTTGTTAACCACAATTTCCATTCACATAAGGGTGTTTTACCCAAAATAAAAATTTTGAATCAATATAAAAGAATATGTATCAAAATAATTATTTAATTAAATATTAAAAGTATTTTTTGATATTATACTTTTTATATAATAAATAACCTTATACAGTTATTTTACAGCAAGTTTTTTTTCTTCCTAGCAAATAGTTTTATTTAATAATATAACACAGTATAAGTGCGATGAAAAGGATAATAAGACCCAGAAGAACAGCATTAGAGTGAGCTTGCACCAGCAAACGTAATGCCATCAGCAATGCTTCTACCATAACATCCACGGGTTCGCTCCTCGGCATGAGCCAAGGCCAAGACACGAAGAACAAGGGTTTCTGTCGATACCTCCCTTTGCTAATTAAAGCATTAATTAGCTTATATAAACTTTTACATTAATGTTCTTAAAATGACATATTTTGATGATTAAGGCAGGACCTCATTTGGGTTCATTTATCCCGTGGTCGTGCTTTGTTTTACAGTAAGCAAAGATAACTGTTCGTTGAATCATCGCTGTCAAAAGGAAAAAAATCAAGGTCCCTGGAGAAATAATAACAATAATAATAAAAATAAATAAAAAATGCATGTCCTCTTTCTCCACCTATATATAAAACAGCATAGATTAGATTTTCTTCAACTACAACCTTACGTATATCTATCCACTGATCTCCAAAATGTTGAAGCCACATGTTTATCATCTCAGCACCAGCAAAACCCTGTTATTGCCGTTGCACAAGCCGTTCTTACACGGCACTGCCTTTGGTTTTCTTCCTTTGAACTACTACAAGCCTTCTTCTTCTTCTTCTTCTTCGTTGAGCAAGACAGACAAAGGTTTTAAAGCAAGATTTGTTCCAAACAATACCAAAGCGACACCAGACAGTACCACCACTCTTACCGATGATGTCGGTTCTGTTTCCGCTGTGAAAGCATTCGTCACAGTTAAACAAACTGTTTCTGGTCTCATCACCAACTTAGGGTTCCAAAGAGGGCTAGATGATATCCAGGACTTGCTCGGTAAATCACTTCTCTTAGAGCTTGTTAGCGCCGACCTTGACCCCGGTAAGTGATGAAACAAAGCTCGCAGGGTTTTTTTTTGTTCTTCAAAATTCTAGGAATTTATTTTCTTCTGTTGGTTGAAAAGTAAAAGCAAAATAAATGGTTACGTTGACACTAAATAAAGGTGAAAATTTGCAGTTACGTATAGATTCCAAGGTTCATGGATTTCCGTGAGTAGCCAGAAAGAACAAAGACAGATTTTATTAATAACTTACCAAAGCATTACTATTTGATACTATTATTAAACAAAGAAATGTTGTTGAACTTGCAGAAACGGGGCAAGAGAAGGAGACGATCAAAGCTTATGCACATCGAGTGAAACAAAAGGGTGACGATGTGACATACGAGGCGGATCTCAAAGTAGGCCAAGAGTTCGGGGAAATAGGTGCGGTGGTGGTGGAGAACGAGCATCACAAAGAGATGTTCTTGACCGAGATCGTGCTTCGAGGCTTCCAAGACTCCGATCCTATTACCGTCACCTGTAATTCTTGGGTTCACTCCAAGTTTGACAATCCTCAAAAGCGGGTCTTCTTCAATCACAAGGTTAGATTCCTCCATATTTTGTTACTCATTTTTCCTTGTATTTCGTTTATGTGCTGAAGAGCTAAATATAGGGTACTTGATGGTCCCCGTCAGGATTTAGACACTGCACTGCATGCCACTGGTAAAGGCCAAAAACATCGTAATAGGGTTGATCGGATATGTGAGGTCCATAGTGTACAAGTTTTGTTATCTTTTCACGGGAAGTAATTAACGATATCTACGTACCTATCCTTAATTATACTTTCTCCTAACATAATTTCTATTTTTCTTTTCTCTCTCTCCCATTAAATTACTTTTTCAATGAGGACCATTGAACAGAAGAAAAGGAGACAAAAAAATGAAAATATGAACCAATGCACTTATAGAGGAAAAGGATACAAAAAAATATGGACCACGATCACAAACTACAACAGCACATGTAGTGGACCACAATCACTATTGAAAACGCCCACACACACTTCAAATTCCGTACGCTACACGTAAGGAAGAACTCTACCACCAGTAAAAACATCAACCTAGACGGTGCTGAAGATTTCATAAGCTGATTTAGCAAAACCTTGTGTTTTTTTAAAATTAGTTCGGTGCTAATAATACAGTCGTACCTGCCGTCACAAACACCAAGCGGATTGAGGAGACTGAGGAATGAAGAGCTGGAGGCATTGAGAGGGAATGGTGAGGGAAAGCGCAAGCCATTTGAGAGGATATATGACTACGATGTTTACAATGATCTCGGCGATCCTGATTCCAATCTCAAAAAAGAAAGACCTGTGCTCGGCGGCAATGAAGATTTCCCTTACCCTAGACGGTGCCGGACTGGTCGCCCACGCTGCAAAACAGGTAATAATCAGGGATTACCCACTGGTTTTAGAAAAGAAGAATTGGTAGATAATTGAATAAATTAATAATTGCAGCTTCTGAGTCGGAGACGAGGAGCAACATATTTTACGTGCCAAGAGATGAGTGCTTCTCGGAGGTGAAGCAACTGACGTTCTCGGCAAAGACGTTGTACTCGGTGTTTCACGCAGTGATACCGTCGCTGCATACGGCTATTGTAGACAAGGATCTTGGGTTCCCATACTTCACAGCCATCGACAAGCTTTTCAATGAGGGGATTCACTTGCCTCCCCAGAAAGGACAAAGTTTGTGGAGATCAGTTCTCCCCAGACTTCTCAAATCCATTTCTGATACGAATGCTTTGCGCTTTGAAACGCCTGCCACTATGGATCGTAAGTTCTCTCTCTTATACACAATTTTTAGGTCACATTTAAAAAGATAATTGGATAAAGGTATAACCACGTGAAATTTTAGAGTTTTGAATCACCATCGTAGTTATAAGTTTGGTTGAATTAAACGTAATTTAACCCTTCAATTTTTATAACTAATATTATTTTAAGATTTAAATTTATATAATTGTGTAATTATAATATGTACTACTAATATTTTTCTGAAAAGTAATAGTATGATTAGAATGAAGAATCATACAATGGAAGGACACTGCCATTAAGTTCATTAAAAGCAACAGACGATACAACAAAGATTTATGGTAATCGATAAAACGTAAATATATTTTAATTCTCTATATTTTATCAATGTCTAAAAAGTTAGAATTTATTCTACTTGTAATTACTAGAATTATAATTATAGTATAATGTTCAAGTACATCTTTAGATAAAAAATTGAAAACTTGGATTTGAATTTTAAAAAAAAATATAGATTTAATAATAAATTACTTAGAAATGTAAAATTGATTACTATTTCTAAATTCTTGGACTGTTAGATTATTATATAATAATGATTTTGAAATTCCTAGTTTAATTTTGAATTTGAGAATTTCAGTTTTTATAATACTTTTTATCTATATTTTGAATTTGATAATTTCAGTTTTTATCGATAATATATACCTGTTATTCTTGTCATTTACGTTACAAATCATTCTATATCTAAATTTTCAAATTCTTATTCCCAAACGATATATCAATTTAGCAGTGATTATTTAATCAATTACTCACTTCTTTGTTTTAATTTCTTGAAGGTGACAAATTTTTTTGGTTTAGGGATGAGGAGTTTGCTCGACAAACCCTTGCGGGGATCAACCCATATGCTCTTCAATTGGTTACGGTATGATAATTGTAAAAAAAAACTGAGAAAAATGTTTCAATTTATATGTATCTAATTTTCAAACTAATAGTCCCCCCCAAAAAAAACAAAAAAACATAGGAATGGCCAATGAAGAGCAAACTTGATCCCGAAATCTACGGTGATCCGATATCTGCAATCACCAAAGAGCTGGTCGAGCGTCAAATCAGAGGATACTACACGTTGGAAGAGGTACCAGAGTTGTTCATTTATTCAGAACAAATGGTGACACAAAGAGACATTGTTTTTGATTAAGTTCTTATATATTATTCATCCATGTGTAGGCATTGGAACAAAAGAAGTTGTTCGTCTTGGATTACCATGACTTGTTAATACCATATGTGAAGAAAGTGAGAGATCTTCCAGGGACAACATTTTATGGGTCGCGAACACTATTTTTTTTAGATCATGAGGAGACCCTGAGGCCATTGGCCATCGAACTAACTCGACCGCCAATGGACGGGAAGCCACAGTGGAGGGATGTATACAAGCCGGCTTGGCATTCTTCAGGTGTCTGGCTCTGGCGGCTTGCAAAAGCTCATGTGCTTGCTCACGATTCGGGCTATCACCAGCTTATTAGTCACTGGTTAAGAACCCATTGTTGTACGGAACCTTATATAATTGCCACTAACCGACAACTCAGTGAAATGCATCCGATCTACAGATTGCTCCATCCCCATTTCCGTTACACAATGGAAATCAACGCACTAGCTCGTGAGTATCTCATCAGTGCTGATGGGATCATTGAGACCTCTTTCAGCCCTGGCAAGTACTGTATGGAGCTTAGTTCTGTTGCTTATGACCTTCTATGGCGATTCGATCATCAAGCATTACCCGCCGACTTGATTAGCAGGTATTCTCAATTGTTTACCGAGTTATATATATTCTTTGAAATTCATAAATTTATTAACAATTTTCTTCATTACTAGGGGGATGGCTGTTGAAGATCCTACTGCTCCTCATGGCCTAAGGTTAACGATCAAGGATTACCCTTTAGCCAACGATGGACTCCTTCTCTGGGATATTCTCAAACAATGGGTTTCTGATTACGTGAACCATTACTATCCCAAAGCGAGTCTAGTGGAGTCAGATGAAGAGCTTCAAGCATGGTGGACCGAAATTCGTACGGTCGGACACGGTGACAAGAAAGATGAACCATGGTGGCCTGTCCTTAAAACACCACAAGACTTGATCCAGATCATTACGACCATCACTTGGGTAACCTCGGGTCATCATGCATCTGTCAACTTCGGACAATATACATACGCCGGTTACTTCCCCAGTAGGCCAACGATTGCTAGAAGGAATATGCCAACCGAAGAGGCAACTGGAAAAGACTGGGAATTCTTCAAGAAGAAACCTGAAGTTTTGCTTCTAAAGTGCTTCCCTTCACAAATTCAAGCTACTACAGTGATGGCTATTTTGGATGTGTTATCGAATCATTCTCCGGATGAGGAGTACTTGGGAGAAAAGTCGGAGTCGGCTTGGGCCGATGATCCCTTGATTAAATCGGCATTTGAAAAGTTCAAAGGGAGGTTAATAGAGCTTGAAGGGATTATTGATGAAAGGAATGCAAACGAGGATTTGAAGAACAGGAATGGTGCTGGGATTGTGCCATATGAGTTTTTGAAGCCCTTCTCTGAGCCTGGAGTCACTGGGATGGGAGTGCCATATAGCATTTCCATCTGAGCTGTCTCTCAAATGTTCTATTATGAACATTATGTATCTTCACATTCCTTAAGGGTTATGGCGTAATAAAACGGTTTATGGCATAAGCTATTTTGAAGGAACTTTGGTCCTTTTTAAATATATATATAGGAAAATTCTAATGCACGTTGTAACCGAAACACATAACTAATTGTGACATATCGATGTACACCACTAATTAAATTGTCTTTATTACATAAATATGAAAAAATATAATAATCTAACCATAATTAATCATTTATTATTATTTAGTTTAAATTTTAATATGAATATAATTAAATTATATTTTTATTGAAATTATAATTATTTCAAGAATTTTTATTTGTTTATGATTGGAACACTTAATTTTATATAAATTTGCATATTCATCACAACAACAATCATCATAATCAACCGTCAACGATCCTATTCATCGCCGAAAGATCATGTTTTTCAATCTCAGCTTTAAATTCTCGTTTATTCAGTCCCCACCGATTTTTAGCTGCTTTACAACCACCCGCCTTCCATCTTGTAAGCAACCTTTATAAATAACCCTAAGTTCACCTTCACTCAAAAGATTATGGTGTAAAAATATATTCGTAACCTCGACTAATTCTTCATGTGTAAACAATGACTTCAAATTGCCTAAACTGTCGAGTTCTGGCATCAGGTGGTGAATGCACAAAGCCACTTCTAAAACTAGTTCCAATGAGAGGAGTTGAAGATCGTGTCTTTGTATAGGATGAATCTATAAGCATGTAACATTGATCAAGACAGAAGCTCCAATTACATATAAATTGAATATTACCAATAATTCCTTAAGCAATTGAACAAACTAATATGCACTTGTGAAAAAATTTACAAGATCTTGGGAAGAGTCTAATGGGGATGGCATTACATAACCAAGTAAGTAACACAATTTTTCTGCGATGAATTAGATCGTCAATGCTTAGTTTGATGGTTTTTATTGGGATGAATATGTAAACTTATATAAATTAAGTGTTCCTATCCTAAATAAATAAAAAATCCTAAAATAATTATAATTTTTAATAAAAAAATATAAATTAAATATTTTCTTATTAAAATTAAAATTAAATATTAATAAAGGATTAATTGTGGATAATTGCTATATTTTTAATATTTATTTAATAAAGACAATTTAGTTATTAGTGTGCTTCAGTATATCACATTAGTGGTGTATTTCGATGTGCGATATGCACTCTAATCTTATCCTATATATATATATATATAATTGTAAACTCGAAATAATTAAATTTGACCTTGGCATATGACCCTTTTTAAGAGTTATGGTTATAAATTTGAAACTAAAATCTTTTTCAGAAGAATACTTTCTCGTACCACGTAAATATTTTTTAACGTCTACTAATAACAATAATCCTAGTAAAAGCAAATTAAAAACTTAGTTATTGTAATACGAATTTTAAAATGACTACTAATATAATTTACTCTTAAAAATAAATCACTTAAACTATAAATGCTAGGAATCAAAATGAAGATATTTTGTAACGGGAAAAAATGAAGATATTTCAGTGTTATTTTATACAATTCAATTGATGAACAGTCTCAACTCTCAAGTCCTAGTCTGCACCTTCATCTCCACGGCATAGAGTAACACAATGAAAACGTCCCAAGTGGAAGTCATCCATAGGTTTCTCCATCTTAAATATCTGGCTGCACTAGCAAGCAACGACGTCAACGAGCAAAACCAAATATAAATGAGACGCAAGCTTTGAAAAGTTAAACTTAAATCATATCAGATGAAAATGGCGAATGGTCCACAATCACATTCATTGACATTGCCTGGACATAAAATCAACTTTGATATGGAAACTGAGTTCAATATATAGCTTCAAATGAACTTAAAGCCTACAGGGTAGATACAAACAACAAAGTTATTATTACATAAATCTCCTAAACTAACGACTTATTCCATTCAAAATAATACTAACTTGAGTAGCATTTAGATATGTTGAAACCATAGATAACAGAAATTCATGCAGTTAAAGCAATATGCACATGGACATGGACATGGTGGAGCTGGTACGTGCACAACTCCTTCCAGCATCTGTGTGACCACTCTCATGGTGGGTCTCAGCGACGGATCTTCTTGAATACACCATATGGCAGCTTGCATAAACCTCTCTACTTTTGCTCTGTCATGTTAGTAAAATAGACTGCTGCAAAATGAGACATTAACATTGAATGGAAAATATATATTGAAATATATATATAAATAAAGAATCAATTAACCGTGTCGTGGTATTAATCGCTGCCTTAGAAACGAATTCGCCCCGATGTGTGTAATCGTTCCATTAGGCGGATCGTCCCCCGAGGTTAACACGGTCGCTCCAAATTTGTACACCCGAAACCGGAGTGGACTGCTGGTGGTATTGCACTTCTGATAGGAAAGCACAAAGAGAACAACTTTATAAAACACTTGGAGAGTGAATTATGAATGTAGAGAGTGTGTTGAGAAGCTGAATTCAGCTCTCTATTTATAGGCTAGAAGTAAGGGTAAATTCGTCCAACAAGAAAATCAAATTAAATTTGATTTTAATTCTGAATTTAAACCTTTTGTAACTCCTGAAAAATCTAGATGAATCCATCTCAAAAAGAGTTTAGGTTCGTTGCATAAAAACTCAACAGTTATAACTCCTGAAATTAAATCATATAACTCTTGTAACTCCAGATATTAACAGCTTGTCTCTCCCATGAACAAAGCTGGAAATCAACTAGATACATCTTAAATTTTGATTTAATTTAGAAAATGTTGAGTTAATCGATTGACGGAATTGGCCAAGAGGGGGGTGAATTGGCAATAAAAATTTTGGTGGAAGCTTTTGCAGAAAATTGAAAGAAATTACACAGCGATTTAGAGTGGTTCGACTTTCTCAACCAAAGTCTACGTCCACTACCTTAGCTATCCACACTAAGGATTTTCCACAAATTCACTAATTTGTCTTTCTTTTGAGGACAAAGAGTAACCTTACAAACCCTCAAGAATTATACCCCAAATTCTTGAGAACACTTTCTCCCACAGAGAACAATACAAATTTGCAAACTTACAAGGAAATCCTCACAAGGTAGATTGTTTGCACAATTCTAGAACAAATAAAAGAACACTCAAGAATGAATGCAATTGAGCACAATAAGTGTTCTTGAAAGCAAAATGAATATTGAATGAAAAATAGGCTTGAAATGCTCAAACTTGAGGTTTGATGCTTTCTCTTTAATTATCTCTTGATTCTAGTTGCTTGATGTTTCTTGTTGTTGATCAATGGCTTCTAAGATTGCTTAAAATACACCTTGAATCACTTCTAAATGTTGGGGATCATTAATGAAGATAATATAGCCGTTTTAGTGTGAAATCAATTAATAAAACAGTTTGGAGCGTGGGGGAATCGGTACCCCTTAGGGGGGAATCGATTCCCTAAGTGTAAAATTCAAATATTTCGACCGTTACACAGGGGGGAATCGATACCCCCTAAGGGGGAATCGGTTCCCTCCGAGCATACTGGAATTCTCGGAGCAAAACCATTCAAGGGGGAATCGGTTCCCTCTGAACAATCTGGAATTTTTGGCTTTGAAATGGTTCGAAATATTTTGTAAAATCGTTTTGAAATTATTTTAAGATTAAAACTTAATTTTACACTTGAGTAAGGATTAAAAATGACATTTGAAAGATTTGGAGTAATATTTTGATATTCGAATAATTATATCGAATATACTTAGAAAATCTTTTTGGAAAATCTTAAAATTCATTTAACTTAATTTGTTATATCGAAATATCAAAATGTTTTCAACAATCTCCCCTTTTTTGATATAACAAAATATTTTAGTAATTTTAAGATTTTGAAATCAAGTTTTGAAATTACTCCCCCTTACTTTAACACTCCTCCCATTTAAAACACTTAACATTTTTCCCCTTTTTTGTTAAATCAAAAAGATATTATAAAAGAATTTAAACAAGGTTTTCAAATCATTTAGCCTATTATATATAGTTTAAGCTGCTAAGATCACAAGCAAGAGAAACGTTAGCCATTAGTTTCGTAATCAATATTCATAATTTTTGTGATATGGAAAAATTGGTCATATTGCTAAAGTGATATAAATGATGCAATAATGAATAAATTTAACCACATAATATATAAGTTCAAACATCCAAACAAATCCAAAGTCTAACAATCCACAAAATCAAACAATCCAAAAATATTCAAAATGTTGAAACAATAATCTTTTAGTTCAAAGTTCTAAAGCTAAACACAGAATCAAACATCCGGATCGGGAGGAGGAAAACGAGCTCGCATAGCGGCCATCTCGTGTGAGAGTGCATCAATACGTTCATTCATCAAAGCGTTGTTTGTGCGCATCTCTCAGAGGATTTCTAATTGTTGAGCTCCCATTGTGGATAAATGAGACTCTATAGAAGTAAAGCGCGAATCCATGGTAGTATATCGGAAATCGAATGTCTCCATAAAAGATTGAAAATATGGAGGCATTTGATGCGTTTGTTGTGCTTGCTCCTCGGGCTACTCCTCGGGCTGTTCAGGCTCATCTTCAGCTTCATCGATGTCTAGCATTAATTGTTGAAGCTCGGGATCGTCGTCAGCTTCTGGTTGAACTTGTGAAGAACTAGCTCCCGGAGTATTTTCAGACGATCTAACCCATTCACCGGTTTCCTTATCCTTTATCCATCCCGCTCTCGTTAAAGAAAGAAGATTAATTTGTTTCTTTAGAGGAAATGAGGCATCTAGACCTACTCTAAGCCCGGATTTCAAAAATAGATTACTCAAAATGCAACCGTAAACTAGAGATGAACAGAGTTTCTTGTTAGGAATAAGATTTAAGGTTTCAATAATTTCAGCAAAAATGATCTGAGGTAGGTTTATTTTAATACTGTTTTCGAAACAATGTAACCACCAAAGATCCAAGGCTCTAAGAGTAGAATAACGACCTCCGGATGGTCGAAACCACCAATAAAT